ATGCATTGCCATGGCCCCCAGCAGAAAATATACATGATAGATGTTTTTGACCTTTCAAGCTTCCATACAAGTTGGTGTTTATAATTACTTCTTTTATACTAAGGTGCTGAGATACGAGGTGACGTTATCGTGTTCGAGTAGTAACTCGTGCAGTTTTAGGTTCTGAAATGACGAAAATCCCCTTTCGCTGGATCGTCTGTGTCAATATGTTGTTCCTGTAGGATCTCCTATCTGTGTCACTATGTGTTGTTCCTGTAGGATCTCCTATATGTGTCACAATGTGCTGTTCATATAGGATCTCCTATATGTATGACAATGTGTTGGTTCCGTAGGATCTCCTATCTGTGTCAGAATGTGCTGTTCGTATAGGATCTCATATATGTATGACAATGTGTTGTTTCTGTAGGGTCTCCTTTATGTGTCACAATGTGCTGTTTCTAAAGTATATCCTATGTGTGTCACTATGTGCTTTTCGTATAGGATCTCCTATATGTGTCACTAAATGCTCTTCGTACAGGATCTCCTATATGTGCCACTAAATGCTGTTCGTATAGGATCTCCTATATGTGCCACTAAATGCTCTCCGTACAGGATCTCCTATATGTGCCACTAAATGCTGTTCGTACAGGATCTCCTATGTGTGCCACTATGTGCTGTTCGTATAGGATCTCCTATATGTGTCACTAAATGCTGTTCGTACAGGATCTCCTATATGTGCCACTATGTGCTGTTCGTATATGATCTCCTATATGTGTCACTATGTGTTGTTCGGATAGGATCTCCTATATGTGTCACTAAATGTTGTTCGTATAGGATCTCCAATATGTGTCACTATGTGCTGTTCCTATATGATCTCTTGTATGTCACTAAGTGCTGTCCGTATGGGCGCGTCTATATGTGTCAGTATGTGCTGTTCGTACATGATCTCCAACAATGTGCTGTTCGTATAGGATCTCCTATATGTGTCAGTATGTGTTGTTTGTATAGGATCTCCTATATGTGTCACTATGCGCTGTTCCTGTAGGATCTCCTATATGTGTCACTATGTGCTGATCCTATAGGATCTCCTATATGTGTCACTATGTGTTGTTCCTATAGGATCTCCTATTTGTGTCACTATGTGTTGTTCCTATAGGATCTCGTATATGTGTCACTATGTGCTGTTCCTGTAGGATCTCCGATATGTGTCACAATGCGCTCCTCCTATAGTATGCCTTATGCGTGTCACTGTAAACTCTCCGTATTGGAGCTGATATTTGTGACACAATGTACTGTTCTTAAACGAGACACAAGTGAATGTGACACATCAGGGTTTTTTCTCAGGCCTTGAACTGTTTTCATTTTTACATACCTAACTAAACAGTATATATATATAGAGTGAGTGAGTTGGATATAACGCCGCTTTTAACAGTATTCCAGTTATATCTCGGCGTGTATATATATATATATATATATATATATATATATATATATATAAAGAGAGAGAGAGAGAGAGAGAGACACACACACACACACACACTCACAAACACATAGATTGATAGATATCCATATATATATATATATATATATATATAGAGAGAGAGAGAGAGAGAGAGAGAGAGAGAGAGAGAGAGAGAGAGAGATAAATACCAATGGAGAAGTTAATTCACAATATGTCACAAACTCACAAACGCACATACGCACGCTCGCACACACACACGCACGTTTCAAAGCGGCGTTAAACCAGTCACACTCTCTCTATCCCTATGTCAAATGCATTTTATGAGAGCCTGGTTTGCGATGTCAGTAAGACTTATATGGACTTCCCCATCAACGTATTATATAAAATAATGTGCGACACAGAAGTGTGACAAACGTTATGCACAAACATTCCTCAGCTGCAATATTACGCGGGAGTTATGGTTCTATTATGTATTCAATTGAAAGAATAATATATGCAGAGACAATATTCAAACGTTATTCTGGACGCATGCACAGTTTCGTTATTAAAATCCAATAACTCGAGTTGTCAAGCGTTCATTCTGAAACATCCACACACAAACATCCACACATGCACGCACGCACGCACACGCACACACACACACACACACGCACGCACGCACACACACACACACGCACGCACACGCACGCACACACACACACACACACACACACACTCACAAACACATAGATAGATATTCATATATTAATAGCAGTTTAACATGGTGAGCTTTTTACTTTCAAAAATTCAAATCAAATGCTTCACCCAGTACGTCAATAACAATCCAAATAAAACAATATGCGCGTGAATGTAAAAATAATTATCTACCGTCACAGCTGTCTTTGATGGGCTTGTTTAGAGAGCGCGAATGAATAGATAGCTCATATCGAACATGCTATTCAGCTTCAGAATCTAGCAAGTTTAATGCGCGTTGACCCAGTTCAGCGAAATGTCCATAGCATGTTTGATACCACGACAGCGGTGCGCTTATCAAAAATGCAAATATCTGTTCCTCGGTCAACTTGGAGCCGGCAAGTGTAGTTATCAAGTCGGTGATCACTACCGAAGCTGAAACAGCTGCATTGCCCCTGCCGATACATCACAAATGACACCCTGAATTAAGGTCGTGTTGATTATGTTCCTGTCATTTTATTTCAATACATTGTGACATATCTTTTCGTAAATGTATCGCTGTTTCACGTACATGTACAAACGAAATGTCAAACGGGATCGGGTGGTCATATCGGCATGTCATCGTATCCCATTTGCGTGGATCGATGCTCATAATGTCAATCACTGGAGACCCGTGAAGATTCCGGGGTAGAATAGGCCTTCAGCAACCCATGCTTGCCGTAAAAGGTGGCTATGCTTGTCGTAAAAGGCGACTAACGGGATCGGGTGGTCAGGCTCGCTGACTTTGTTGATGCATGTCATCGATCCCAATTGCGTGGATCGATGCTCATGGTAATTAATCACTGGATTGTCTTGTCCAGACTCGATTATTTTACAGACCGCTGTCATATAGCTGGAAAATGCCGAGTGCGGCGTGGGTCGGGGTGGTTGTCTACAGTCAGGTAGGCGTTTGACACACCAGTATGTGTGTGAATCATATTTTATGCCGTCTACAGCAAAAGTCAGGACAGGTTGCTCCGCGAGAGCGGTCATTTAATTTTCCAAAGCCGGGCCATGGACTTTTTCTTAAATGTCAGATCTACTATGTTTCACTCTGAAACGAAGAAGTGGACGCTAAGTTCATTTCGTTACAGGCAATTATGTTTTGTTTTTTGTACAACCCAATGCAAGCGTATTCGTCCAGTGACATCAGTGACAAATTGTGCCTAAAGCATTCTTATTTAGCACAACTGGCCTTCACATTCATGATGAGAATCGGACCCGTTCTTCGGTGTGTCGAACGAACGAACGCTTTGATCAACCAGGTACTAGCATCAGTGCACAGGTATGATATACATAGGTAACGAAAGTGTGTCACTAAACCCATTGGTGTGGTGTGGTGTTTGTAAACCAACATTATCAGGTCGAACTAGAATTCGAACTACGCTGATCTTACAAGCTCCACCCCAGTGCGTGACACCTTCGTTACTCTCCCGGAATCATCGGGGTAGTGTTGACGAGTCAAAGAATGGGCTATTGCTGTGGGGAGCTTACAACACAGTAAGGGAAGACAACTCTGCGCAACAAATTACGACGTCAAAGACTGCATGACTACCGTTTCAGGCAGGCTATTACGACAACTGTTGCAAACGCCAAAAACGTTTCTACGTCTACTTTTTTGCTACTGTGACATCGTAAGAACTACGTAGGCGGTCGTTCCCGTCATCGGTGATTACACACTGACACTATGCTCTGTCAGTACCCATTGTAGTCAAAACTACTTTTTTAGCTGAACACTGTTGCAAAAAGATAATTACCTAAAAATAAACATGTATACCCAATGAACGGTGCGACTGTAACGCTCGAGGGAAGAGGTATCACAGCACACGTATAATGTGTCATTCAAATGTTTAACAATTCATGAGACTACCCTAAATGAGACCAGGGCACCCTTGGTACTTGCTTTTGATATATCATATTTCTAAGGCTGTTTCATTTCTGAAAACAACTAAAGACCACAACTGCAAAGTTCTGCCGCCGCTCAATCAAGATAGACGTATTGCAACGGTGTTATCACACAACTATCCCTCGCGTCGCCATGCACCATAAGCGATCTTCCCACTGCCTCGGAGCATTGGAATTTCATTGAATGCACCAGCACACATCAATATATCAACCCCACATTTCACCTGGGGATATATTCCTGCTCTTTTGTTAATGAAATCAACACACTATATTATCTCAAACCATAACGATGTACAAGAAATAAATACACTTGTTGAGGAATAGAAACAACTGTTTGACTGTTTAGCAAGTAACGATCTAAACTCATTCAAACAGTGTCTAGATTTGGAACGAAATCTCCGACAAAAGGCCCCAATGTGTCGGACAGATTTATTGGATTCCATAGTTGCACTCATGAAATCTTCGCAAACGAATTTCAATCCCCTATGACTGGTGTATAATGTGCCATCGATGCCAGACCTGCCTGCATAAACACCGACCCTCATATACTTAGAGTAAGACATAACATTCTGGAACAGAAGTTCAATCTAGTTGCAATGTAATCTAGTTGCAATGTGCATTGCTTTTAAGAACACACATAAACATGTGATGATAAGAGTAGAGCCTATTGATAGATTGCCCATTGTAGAGCGTCATGGTTGCCCGGGCCCATCGTGTGCTAATAAATAACTAAAAATATACCAAAAGCTCATTGCTGTCAGTTATTATTGGTAATCAAGTTTCGGACATAAAATATTGTCAGTGACTGTTGTTTCTGAAACTGCCAATCTGAAACACTATTGTTCTGCGTCGACATCATAATTCACGTTGGGTGATAAATCAAAATCAGACACTCGTATGTTATTCTATTATAGAAAGCATGAAGGAATATTGAAGACTTTACCTTACACAGAGGGGATGGATCCGACGGCCCGTCCATATCCCAGCACCGTGCGAAGTGAAATGAACTGTCAAACATATATTATCACGTTGACGACAGGACATCGTTCACAGAGCCTGCTTATCGATCGGAATAAAACAAAAACTCGCTCTTGAGACTTGCTATTGTGTACAGGCTATAGCTTGAACCCACTGCGTATTTTGTATACAAAACAGCTGTCCGCGCACTGTCCATAGCGTCATTGTATGAAATCAACAACTGATGTCGATTTCACCAGCTTGTAGAGTATCTCGTTAGTGTCATCTGGCATCTACCCCTCTATCAGAAGTGTAAGTTACTGTCGCTTCCTCAATCACGAACTAGTTTCCTTCCAAATACGGTCTCCAAACTGGTTCTCTCATCAGCACACTAGGTGTGTACATACGTCCAAAACGTTATGATATCCGTCATTGAACACATCCCTTTCGTTGCGACTTCAAGGTGTTGAGCTACATGTCAACTGAGCTATCAGTCTTCATCCGTCTTGAAATATTTATTGGATTCTGAATCTAATGAAATTTTAATTGATATTGTTTCTGTTATCGTTTTTATGACAGGACTTTTATACAGCGTTCCTCTCTCCATGCACTCAGCGTCAAAGCTACGGTAAAAATCGATAGGTAATTAGACAACTGTAAGTGATACGGTAGAGATGGACCTATTAAAGTTAGACTTCGAGACTGCCCTTTTTCAATGATGATTAGTTTGTTTGAGAGATGGGAGCCCAGTGCTATTTGAAAACCCTTAATCGAATTCCCCGGTGTCTGTTTGGTTAATAATGTCTCTTATAATATATGACCCAGGTAACAGACGCCGCATCTATGATATTATTCATAATAGAATTTCGTGAACATTTATGTCTACAGAATAAATGGTTTATACGATTCTGCAAGAAGCAAGTATACTAAGGTAATATTATTGTAATCAAATATAATGGTGGCTGTTGAGGAACGGACCATTTTCTATTGTAGGGGCCATAACTTTCAGTGAAAGATTGAATATATTTTCGGTCAATGCTACAAAACGAACAATGTTTTTATCAAACCCAATGATCGGGCGAAAAACATTCAGTTGGTTGTGGGTTCGTAATTATATTTTGTCCGTTGGCATCAAACCAGTGGTTCTGTCAAAGACGCCTGCACAGTGATGATCGCAGACTCGCGTCTGATCTGTCAAAGACGCATATCCAGTGATGACTGCAGACCCAAGGGTGGTCTGTCAAAGACGCCTGCACAGTGATGACAGCAGACCCGGGGTCGGTCTGTCACAAACGCCTGTACAGTGATGATCGCAGACTCACGTGTGATCTGTCAAAGACGCATATCCAGTGATGACTGCAGACCCAAGGGTGCTCTGTCAAAGACGCTTCTACAGTGATGATCGCAGACCCAGGAGTGATCTGCCAAAGACGCATGTACAGTGATGATCGCAGACTCGCGTGTGGTCCGTCAAAAATGCGTGTACAGTGACGACCGCAGACCCGGGGTCGGTCTGTCAAAGACGCATGTACAGTAATGATCGCAGACCCGAGGGTGGGCTGTCAAAGACGCCTGTACAGTGATGATCGCAGACCCGCGTGTGATCTGTCAAAGACGCATATTCAGTGATGACTGCAGACCCAGGAGTGGTCTGTCAAAGACGCCTCTACAGTGATGATCGCAGACACGCGTGTGGTCCGTCAAAAACGCATATACAGTGATGATTGCAGACCCGGGGGTGGGCTATCAAAGGCCCATATACAGTGATGATCGCTGACCCAAGGCTGGTTTGTTAAAGACGCATGTATAGTGATAATCGCAGACACGGGGTCGGTCTGTCACAAACGCCTGTACAGTGATGATAGCAGACCCAGGAGTGGTCTGTCACAAACGCCTGTACAGTGATGATAGCAGACCCAGGAGTGGTCTGTCAAAGGTGCATGTACAATGATGATCGCAGACACAGGGCTGGTCTGTCAAAGACGCATGTACAGTGATGACAGGAGACCCGGGGTGGTCTGTCAAAGGCCCATGCACAGTGATGATCGCAGACCCAAGGGTGGTCTGTCAAAGACGCCTCTACAGTGATGATCGCAGACCCAGGAGTGGTCTGTCAAAGACGCATGAACAGTGATGATCGCAAACCCGGGGTCGGACTGTCAAAGGCCCATATACAGTGATGATCGCTGACTCAAGGCTGGTTTGTTAAAGACGCATGTATAGTGATTATCGCAGACCCGCGTGTGATCTGTCAAAGACGCATATTCAGTGATGACTGCAGACCCAGGAGTGGTCTGTCAAAGACGCCTCTACAGTGATGATCGCAGACCCGCGTGTGGTCCGTCAAAAACGAATATACAGTGATGATCGCAGACCCGGGGTCGGTCTGTCAAAGGCCCATGTACAGTGATGATCGCAGACCCGGGGGTGGGCTATCAAAGGCCCATATACAGTGATGATCGCTGACCCAAGGCTGGTTTGTTAAAGACGCATGTATAGTGATGATAGCAGACACGGGGTCGGTCTGTCACAAACGCCTGTACAGTGATGATAGCAGACCCAGGAGTGGTCTGTCAAAGGTGCATGTACAATGATGATCGCAGACACAGGGCTGGTCTGTCAAAGACGCATGTACAGTGATGACAGCAGACCCGGGGTGGACTGTCAAAGGCCCATGCACAGTGATGATCGCAGACCCAAGGGTGGTCTGTTAAAGACGCCTCTACAGTGATGATAGCAGACCCAGGAGTGGTCTGTCAAAGGTGCATGTACAATGATGATCGCAGACCCAGGGCTGGTCTGTCAAAGACGCATGTACAGTGATGACAGCAGACCCGGGGTGGACTGTCAAAGGCCCATGCACAGTGATGATCGCAGACCCGGGGGTGGGCTGTCAAAGACTCATGTGCACTGATGATCGCAGACCCGGGGCTGGTCTGTCAAAGACGCCTGTACAGTGATGACAGCAGACCCGGGGTGGTCTGTCAAAGGCCCATGTACACTGATGATAGCAGACCCGGGATCGGTCAAAGACGCCCTTGACAGTGATGATCGCAGACCCAGGGCTGGTCTGTCAAAGACGCATGTACAGTGATGACAGCAGACCCAGGGGTGGTCTGTCAAAGACATCTGTGCAGTGATGATCGCACAACCCCGGGAGGGGGTCGGGTTGGGGAGGGGGGGGGGGGGGGTTCTGTCAAAGACGCATGTACAGTGATGATCGCAGATCAGGGGGCGGTCCACGAAGGACGCCCCTACAGTGATGACAGCAGACCTGGTCTTTCAAATGTAAAAACATCTGTTTACCGTTTTGTAAATTCAAACCTGTACAGGTACAGCCAGCCCAACTTTGCGAAGGGTGCTATGCAAACGCACCACCACATACTCGTGTATAACTTTGTATCAGAAAAACTCGTTGAAACAGTTCTTAGTCATGGATTTCGTGTCTCGTTATTTTTTTTAATAGAATTACTTACAAATATAAATAATACCCCTGTCAATGAATTCTTGGAGATACAGACACATATTTCTCTTGAATTCCATTTGGGAGCATTATTTGGCTAATCTAGATAACGGCCTCCACAATGATCAAACAATGTCACTGATCAAGAAATCCAGACGCAGACCCATTTCACGATGTTCAGTTAATAACTCATTTTCACCATTGCTTGAAAGCCATCGTACCTGGTTCCTTCAGGGAATTGTATGCATAATACGAATACAACACACTCTTTAATAGCGACGTCTGCTTTGACCGTCTTTGAAATTACTGGCTCTAAATTTAGAGGTAGCAGATATGAGTACATGTTTTTTTACGCCGCATGATGTTTACCTGCACAATCTACGTCCTACAGTTACTATGATACACAGTACATACCTACCAAATAAATAAGAACCACTACCTATATATGTCATTATAAACTAGCCTTTTTCAAATCGTATCCTGTATTTACATTTGTTATGTGTCCACAGTACCGTACGCACACTGAAACAGATAATCAGAAATCGTTTATGTAATGATTCATACTGTAACAAGTTCATGCCAATAGTTATTTGACTACATTTTCAATTTAACCCTCTGCTTCATCGCTTCATATATAGCCACGTCCTTGCGACCATCTGGAGAAGCATACAGTGTTCTTGTACCAAGCTTCTAACAGATACCGTTGTATTTGGGCATTCGTCAACACTGTCAACGTCATATGTAGATATTTCTATAAAATACATGGGAGTAAAGAAGAAAAGAAGGAATATGTTTAACTTCTTCCAGGAGAAAATATTCATCCTGTCCCAATACGGATATGGGAACTGGAAGTGTGTCCCGTTTGGTGGAACTTCAAAATAACATGTACAAATACAGGAGTTAGTTTCCTCGTAGTATTTGTATATCTCACTGTGAAAGTAACTACCAAACAGTAGAGACGACATGGCCTAACGTTTGAACATCATTAAAAGGCATCATATTATCAATTTCTTCATATCAATTCCTCTTTGAGTTTATATACATCATCAAAATTGTACAACTCCCGCCAGAGCCATGAACGCAGGGACTCCGTCATGGCGTGCACGTTGTCCAGAAAACGAGGCACCTCAATTAAATGTAAATTTATCAGCTCAAAACTTCCTGCTTGGTGCATCGTATATAGCCTCATCTACGAATGGCGCTTTATTGTGGACTCGCTGCTGTATTGTGGAATGATGCAGTTGTAATATTGACTAACTGTAAATGATTAAGGTCTTCCCAAAGGATTAATGTGTTTGCCTTTGACTATAGGTTTTTATGGAGTCGACCAAATGGAAAACTCTCTTTGGTTGTTCATTACAGCGGGAATGTAGCAGGAATATCGATTACATTGGAAGTGTGGACATGATGAAAAAGTAAACAAACTCCTTCATGTTTTACTGATCTGCAAGGTGCACAACTTGATCATCGAGACGCATGACCTTGATATCTAAGGTGAACGACTTGCGCTTCTCGATGCATAACCTTGATCTTCATGATGCGTGACCTGGAAACTCAAGATCATGACCTTGATCGGCAAGATGATTGACCTATATCTTCAAAGTTCACGACCTTGATTTTTATCTTCAAGATGCATGACATTGATCTTCAAATGCACGATCTTCATCTTGGTCTCTAAGATGAAGGCGTCATGATTAACACGACATTCACTACATGACAACCAGCAACAGACTGTAATACAGTCGACTCTCGAGTCAGTGGCGGCCCTGGAATCAGTCAAATACGAATTGAGCAGTGGACGATATAGTCACAAGGCAAACAAACAGTGAACTTCGGTATTGGCAATTGTTAAGCAAACGTCGAACTTCGTAGTTGTTTAATTGTAAACCAATGCTGAACTTCAGTATTGTCAAAGGAAACTAAAACTAGGCTTAAAGACCCATTTGGAAAATAATAAACCAGCAACAGATGTGGAC